TCGACCCTTGACCTTTGTACCCGAAGCCTCGACACACATCTTTGTCAAAAGTTGGCATATTGATTCCCGACCTTTATACACGGAGCCTCGATACCCAACTAGTGACGTATCAACCCTCTGGCCTTGATACTCACCCATTCACTCCATAGTAGAACCAAACTCTCACCGGAGTCCTACTACATGCTTTCTAAGCCATGACCCATACATCATTCAACTCACAAATACAATTTAACATGCTTCCACAACATAAACAATATTCTAACAACGAAATAATATGCCAATGATGCTTTTACAACATATCAATTCTCACAACAACTCAGTATGTTTTTATGAACACGACATTACACTAATACGACTATCAACGATGCAGAAACATCCAACACACCAACAGTAAGTCAATAATGCCAATATGTTATCCCAACATAATAATTCTTAACAACAGCTTCACAGGGAGTTTAGTCATAACCGAGTATAGTCAAACACATTTTAAACAATTAGAGCCTAGCACAGTTTATACGGAGCACTTAATATCCAACATTCATACAAAAAAAACATCCAGCATCAATATTCAATAAGCATTACTAGATATAATAAAACACGCTAAACAATTCATGCATATTCAAACAACAAACATCCCCACAAGTAAGAACTATTTACTACCACATTCCTAACGCGCTACTAGGCTCGCCAATGGGTTCCTAAACCAAGAGCAACTAAACTTGGGTAAGAATTCATTTTAATTGACTCTAAATCCAAATTAGGTGAGCTGTTACTTATTAACTCACGCTAAGACCTTTTGGGTTGAGAGTGGGTTGATGTCGAATGAGCTCGGTACTTCAAAACTAAGTTCGACAATGCCCGTGCTTGCTGGTCCGATGTCAAAAAGCGATGGGTAATGCAAATCGACCTTTGTTTGGGTGTAGGTAAGTACCAAATAGATGTCGAAGGGTGTGGGTATCACAAATCGAACTTCGAACAAGAGTGGGTATCATAAATTGGGCTTCGTTTAAGTGTGGGTCACCGCCAAATATCGCCAGAACGATGTATACACATTAGATCTGAGCTCGGGGTCATCGAATTTGAGTGAACCACGTGCTGGCCGTATGGAAAACGTCGCTGTCATGGGGAGATCACACGCCATCGCCATTAGTGTCGAAAGTTTCAGATCTCAATGAGGACGCACCGTAGCTAGTTCGTGGAGGCAGCACTGTCGCGAGTCACCGTTCGTTTGTGTCATACAGTTGCCGGAGATCGCTACTCATAGAGGAGAAATAGGCACGGAAGGGGGTTACACCAGAATGTCGTGGGAGCTCGCTTGAACAGACTAAAATCATGTCGATGATGTTGTCAGAGACCGCCGGAGGGAGTTTACGTAACCGGATGAGTTGCACCGCTGCTGTTGACGGTGGAACTGGCTGATTCGTGAGGATGCGTTGCCGTGGAGTCCGTTTTCGTCGCTGTCGCTCACCGGAGAGCTGCTGGGAGTTGGGCCGCTGCTCGATGCCAGCCGCCGCCGTGTTCTGCTTCGCCGGAGAAGAAATCCCAAGTGGTCCGGCGGCTG